GGGGGAGGTACCAAGCACTGAATTCGTCAGTTAATTACGTCCCCCCCCTTCCCCCCTCCCAAGCAGAGCTAAAGCTCATGCTGAAGCAGAGCTTCAGCTTAGACTTCTGAAACTCACACGCCGGATCGGCGGATTTGTGTGTCGGGCACTTGGACGTCCAGAGCTCGGACGCGCAGCTTGGGGGGAATCGCCAGCCAGGGCTATAGACGGTGCGTTGGCAATGCGTCCACCGCGGGCGGCAATGCGGTCATTCTCGTCGTCAGGTGCCTCTGGCGGGCCTCTCCGCGCCACTGGAGGGTGGCTACGAGGAGCCATTGCATGCACCAGTGTGGTAATTGATGATGCATGTACCTGGTGGTGGCAGTTCTCAGATCACTGGCAGGTAGCAGCGGTGGGAAGATGGGCGGCTCTGCAGCGTGTGAGTGTGTGTGTGTGTGTGTGTGTGTGTGTGTGTGGCGTCGCACGCCACGTGCACCAGGGCGGGCCCCAAACGGCAGGCCACCCCTTCCTGTGGCGCCCCTTCGGCTGGCCGCCCGCCACCCGTTGCGCGGGCCCGGAGGCCCTATGGGGATACTGGCGCTCGCAGCGGGGTGGACCCGCCCCGCGAGGCACCCATGCTTCACGCAATCCGAGTCACGCGTGCGGCGTCGCGGGCCGCGCGCAACGCGGCGGGCCCCCAACGGTAGCACCCCGAGGCGCCCTTTCGGGGTGCCACCCGCCAACCCATCCCGCTGCGCTGTGCCCAGTGGCCCTGCAGGGATGCCGGCGCTCGCAGCGGGGTGGACCCGCCCCGCGGGGCACCAATGCTCCGCAGTCCAGATCACGCAGCCCCTCCTCCTCCCTCCCCTCCTCCCGTCCTCCTCCCCTCCTCCTCCCTACCTCCTCCTCCTCCTCCTCACCCCCCTCCCTCCCTCCCTCCCGTCTCCTCCTCCTCCTCCTCTCCTCCTCCTCCTTCCCTTTCACCCTCCCTCCCTCCCTCTTAACTCCTCTCCTTCCGTCCTTCCTCCTCCTCCCTCCCCTCCCTTCCCCATCCTCCTTCCTCCCCTCCGCCTCCTTCCTTCCTCGTCCTCCTCATACTCACCTCCTCCTCCTCCTCGCACAGCCCCCGTCCCCCCCCCCCCCCGGCGCCCCGCCCCTCCCCCCCCCTCCGCTCGCGCAGGAGGCCAAGCCGATCAAGTGCGAGGTGCCCGCCGTCCCCGCCAAGGCGAAGAAGGAGGACCGCGAGCCCGTCGCCGCCCCGCCAGCGCCCACGACGATGACGCCGAACGCGGCGGCGGAGACGATGACGGCGACGACGCCGACGCCGACGACGGCGGCGACGCCGACGGCGACGGCGGCGACAGCGGCGGCGGCGACGGCGACGCCGCCGATGACGACGGCGGCGGCGGCGGCGACGGCGACGCCGACGACGATGATGCCAGCGGCGGCTTCGACGACAACGCCGCCGACGACGACGACGATGGCGGCGGCGGCGACGGCGACGCCGACGACGACGCCAACGGCGGTGGCGGCGGCGGCGGCGTGAGCGCCAGCGACGGCGGCGGCGGCGGCGGCGAGGGCGATCACAGCGGTGGCGTCGGTGGCAACGACAACGATGCCGGCGACGAACGACGACGGCGGCGGCGGCGGCGACGGCGGTGACGACGACGGCGCCGGCGACGGCGGCGACGGCGACGGCGACGACAATGGCGGCGGTGGTGACAACGATTCCGACGACGGCGGCGGCGGCGACGACGACCGCGACGACGACCGTGGCGGCGGCGGCGACGGCGACGAGGACGGCGGCGGCGGCGACGGCGACGACGACGGCGGCGGCGTCGACGGCGATGGCGGCGGCGACGACGACGGCGACGACGCCGACGACGACGACGACGGCGGCGACGGCGGCGGCGGCGACGACAACACCGACGTCGACGGTGGCGACGGCGACGGTGATGTCGGCGGCGGTGGCGGCGACGGCGACGGCTGCAGCGACGACAACGACGATGACGACGATGACGGCGGCGACGATGCCGACGACGATGCCAACGACGACGACGACGTCGGACGACGACGACGACGCCGCCGACGACGACGACGACGACGACGGTGGCGACGACGACGACGACGCCGACGACGACGACGCTGACGACGACGATGACGACGACGATGACGAGGACGACGACGACAGGGACGACGACAGAGACGACGACGACGGTGCCGACGGCGACGGCGGCGGCTCCGACGGCGACGGCGACGGCGACGGCGACGACGACGACGGCGACAGCGAGGACGACGACTGCGGCGATGACGACGCCGACGTCGACGCCGACAGCGGCGACGGCGACGGCGACAGCGGCGACGGCGAAAAAGGCGGCGGCGGCGACGGCGAACATGGCGGCGACGACGACGGCGGCGATGCGAGGGCGGCGACGTCGGCGGCGACGACATCGACGCCAGCGGCGGCGACGACGACGACGCCGCCGACGGCAAGGTCGGCGTCGGCGACGACCCCGACGACGACGACGACGACGACGACGACGACGACGACGACGGCGGCGATGGCGACGACGATGACGACGACACGGCGACGGCCGCAATGGTGACGATGACGACGGCGGCGGCGGCGACGGTGTGGTCACGCTGACGACGATGACGACGAGGACGACGACGGTGGCGACGGCGACGGACGACGACGATGCCGAGCACGACGGTGACGGCGTATGCGGCCGCGGTGACGACGACGACGACGGTGGCGGCGGCGGCGATGCCGACAGTGTCGACGACGACGGCGGCGGCGACGACGACGGCGGCGTCGACGACGACGGTGGCGGCGTCTGCGACGATGGCGGCGGCGGCGGCGGGGATGGCGACGACGCCGACCACGACGACCACGGCGGCGACGGCGTCGGACGACGACGTCGCCGACGTCGACGGCCGCGGCGGAGACTGCGACGACGACGGCGGCGACGATGGACGCTGACGACGGCGCCGGCGACGGCGGCGGCGGCGGCGACGCCGACGACGACGCCGATGGACGACGACGACGCTGATGACGCCGACGGCGGCGGCGGCGGCGACGGCGACGTCGGCGACCCCGACGACGGTAGCGGCGGCGACGAGGCGACGACGACAACGACGACGACGACGACGCTGGTGGTGGCGACGACGCCGACGACGACGCCGACGATGACGCCATCGAAGGCGGCGGTGGCGGCGGCGACGAGAACGACGACAGCGGTGGTGGCTGCGACAACGACGGCGACGGCGCCGACGACCGCCGCAATGACAAGCCGACGACGGTGACGACTACGATGACGCAGACGACGACGACGACGACGACGGCGGCTGCGGGCGACGCTGGCGACGACGGCGACGACGACGACGGCGGCGGCGACGACGGACGACGACGACACCGACGTCGAATGAGGCGACGGCGACGGCGACGACGACCGTGGCGGCGACGACTGACGTTGCCGACGACGACGACGACGGCGGCGGTGGCGACGACGGCGACGACGGCGACGGCGACGGTGGCGACGACGACTGACGTCGTCGACCACAACGACGGCAGTGGCGACGACGACGACGGCGACGACGGCGACGCTACCGACGACGACGACGCCGACGACGTCGTCGCCGACGACGGTTGCGGCGGCGGTCACGACGACGACGCCGACGACGACGGCGCCGATGGCGACGCTGACGACGGCGACGACGACGACGACTATGTCGCCGACCACGACGTCGGCGTTGGCGACGACGACGACGGCGACGGTGACGACGGTGACGACCACGACGACGGCTGCGGCGATGCCGACGACGACGACGGCGACCGCGACGGCGACGGCGACGCCGACGACGACGACGACGGTGGCGTTTGTGACGGCGACGACGGCGGCGACGACGGCGGCGATGACGACGCAAGCCAACGACGGTGACGACGGCTGCGGCGACGACGACGACGGCGACGAGGACGACGACGACGACGGCGACGGCGGCGGCGGCGGCGGAGGCTGCGACGGCGACGACGACGACGGCGACGACGACGACGGCGGCGTCGACGACGCCGACGGCGGCGACGACAACGACGACGGCGACGACGACGACGAAAACGCTGCCGACGACGACGACGACGGCTGCGTCTGCGACGGCGGCGGCGACGACTTGAGACGACCGCCACGACGACAACGGTGACGGCGGCGGCTGCGACGGCGACGACGAAGACGCCGCCGACGGCTGCGGCGGCGGCGGCGACGACGGCGGCGACGGAGACGGCGACGACGACGACGACGGGCGACGACGACGACGACGACGCCCGACGACGACGACGACGACGACGACGGTGACGACGACGGCGGCTTCCGCGACGCCGACGACGGCGGCAACGGCAACGGTGACGACGACGACGGCCGTGTCGGCGGCGGCGACGTCTTCGCCGTCGTCGCCGCCGTCTTCCCTCTCACCTGCCCCTCTCCTCTACTGCCTCCCTCCTCCTTCTCCTCCCTCCGCCTTTTCCCCTCGGGGGGGAGGGAGCATCAATTCGAAGCTTTCTTGCAGTTGCAATGTTGCTTTTGTGAGGCTGCTGTCTTCTTCCGCTCCTCCGCTGCAGCATCTACTCGCCCGTCTCCGGATCAGCGGGCAGCGCCGCCGCCGCTGGCGCCGCGCCGATGTCAACGCTGACCTCCACTTGCAAACGGTAACGGTGGGTACAGTGTGTTCGCGGCGTGTCGACTGGCGGCGACTCCAGCGCAGGCGTTCAAGGTTGAACGGCGCCCGTGGCCCAGAATCGGCGCATCGTTGAACGACCCAGCGTTTCTGAAGCGGCCGATCGATCAAGGTGGAAGGATCCCCGCGGTGTCATGAGCCACCGTCGGGGTCGACACGACACGAACGTGCCCTACGGTGGTCACGGTGGTTGCAGAGCTCCAGGCCCAGCCGGCCGGCGCCGGCCATGTGAGCCGAGGCGCTGCGACGCTCGAGGCCCTTCGCCCTTGACACTGAGTCGGGCCTGTCCCTCTGCAGTAGGAATATGCAAGGACAGTCAAAAATAGTACGGAACGATTTTTTGATTCTTTTTGAGCATGCCTTATTTTTTAAGCTGTCTTATTTTTTGAGCTGTCTTATTTTTTGAGCTGTCTTATTTTTCGTCCACAATCCACCTGCGGGGGGACAGGCCCGACCTAACCTTAGCAGCCCTTTGAGGCCTCGGTCTTCGCTCCTCGCTCCTCGTCCTTCGATCCTGGATCCCTCGATCCCCCCCCCCCGTCTGCCCCGATCCTCGAGCCCTCGAGCCCTCGAGCCCTCGACCCCTCGATTTCTCGATCCTCGATCCTCTGATCCTTCGATCCTCGCTCCCTCGCTCCCTCGCTCCCTCGCTCCCTCGCTCCCTCGATCCTCTGATCCTCGATCCTTCGCAAAGCGCCTAGGAGAAGCCCGCCGCCAAGAAGGAGGAGAAGCCCGCCGCCAAGCAGGCGGCCAAGGCCGGCCGCCTCCCTCCGCCGCCCGCGTCTGCGACTTTTTCTTTTTGTTTTTTCCCTACCTAGGCTCTGCCTAGAAGGGTTCTTACCGTGTTGGCTTAAAGGGCCGGGCGGTGGAACCCGCCCCGGGCGGTTCCCCCAGGATCCGCCCCGCGGTTCCCCCAGTGACGTTCCCTTAGCTTAGCGTTGCTTATCTCATCTTAGCTTTGCTTATTTCATCTTAGCTTAGCTTAGCTTCATCTTATCTCAGGGTTATCTCAGCTTAGCTTACCTTCATCTTAGCTTCGCCGAGCTTTAGCAGAACACAGCATAGCATAGCAGACAGTTCAGCGCAGCACAGCATATCATAGCAAAGCCCAGCATATCACAGCATAGCGCAGCATAGCATAGCATAGCATAGCATAGCATAGCATAGCATAGCGCAGCACAGCACAACACAGCATAGCACCGCGCATCATAGCATAGCATAGCATAGCATAGCAGAGCATAGCAGAGCATAACATAGCCCAGCAGCAAAGGAAAGGCAAAGCAACAGCAGCGACAGCAAAGCAAAGCACAAGCAACGCAACGCAACGAACAGCAAAAGCAAAGCAAAGCAAAGGAAAGGCAAAACATTAGCATCAGTGTAATTCCCTACCTAGGCTCTGCCTAGAGGGTTAGCTTAGCTTAGCTTAGCTTAGCTTGGCATAGCGCATCGCTGCATTAGCATAGCAGAGCATACCATAGCCAAACACAGCATAGCATAGCATAGCATAGCGCAGCATAGCATAGCATAGCATAGCACAGCACAGCACAGCACAGCACAGCACAGCACAGCACAGCACAGCATAGCATAGCATAGCATAGCATACCGCAGCTTAACATAGCATATCATAGCTTAACACATCACAGCGCAGCATGGCATAATATAGCTTAGCATAGCATATCATAGCATAGTGCAGGATCTCATATCATAGCATAGCATAGCATAGCGCAGCATAGCATGGCATAGCATAGCATAGCATAGCAACTAATGCTGCTTTCCTAGGGGCTCCAACTTCCAGGTAGGGTCCCACCGGGGTAATTCTTGTAAACAAATGTTCGCTCTTACAGTGGGGGCGCGCATCAAGAAACCATGTGCTTTTCGTCAGGGCATCCTGGGTTTCTTCGCTCTTCGCGCTGCGCGGCGACTTCCCGCGGCAGCTGAAGGAGCAGCTGCGTTCCGGGTGCTCCAGGGTTCCCCTCAGGTGCACCTCGCGCACGGGTTCTCAGGGTTGGGCTTCCTGCGAGGGTTTCTTGCGGCCGCGCCCGCACTGTACTTGCCCGCGCGCCTTTCCTTTTGTATACCCCTGGTGTTACGTCGGGCGCGTCCCCCTACAGGGGGATTTGCGACGAAGAATGAAACATGCCCCAACAATACCCCCAAAAAGGTAAACAATACTTGTGGGCTACCTGAATGTCCCCAGAGGAAAGGAGGAGCAGGTGCTTCGCAGGAGCGGCCGTGACGCGGCTGTTTTTGTCGACAGACTGGCGGCAGCAGGGGCCAACCGGCCACCCACTACGTGGCTAAAACCAGAAAAGGGCGAGGAAGCCTTGGCGTACTACAGCCGGGCTGCAGCGGAAGCCGAGAAGGCCTCAATGCCATTGGCATGGCGCAGAGGAGGAGGGGCCAGCCTGGGGATCAGAGGAAAGGAGCCGACAGAGCGCCCGACGGACCGCTTTGTGGTTTCGGCCTCCCTCGACACTGGGCCCCCGACAGGGTGCAGAAATTCTTGGAGGATGAGGCGCGATTCCAGGTCAAGGGGGACCTGAGCCCGCCCGCTGACAAGAGGCAAGGGTGGTTAGTCCGCGGCTACGCGCCAGCAGGGGCTAATGTCACGGACACGATGGTGTTTGAGACGGACAAAGACCAGGCTGTCTACATCCGCAAGTGGTGGCCAGCCAAGGTGGCGGTCAATGCCACGACAGTCGGCAGAGGCAAAGTCGCGTGGGAGAGCGGGAAGACAGCGCATCCCCGCCCACCAGAGGAGCCGCTGGCAGCACCGAGGAGGGGCCGCAGCCAGGAGAGGCGAGAGGACAGAGAGGAGGACAGAGACAAGGACAAAGAGAGAGGGAAGTACGAGGCTGGCAAGGAGGACGGCGAGCGCGAGCGCAGTCCGAGGCGCCAGGGGAGACTGCGAGCAGCGAGCGCGGAGGCGGCGGTCGTGAGGAGGGGGCCAGGCCAGGAGGAGGAGGCGAAACAGCCGGCAAAGGCGCCAGCCCCAAAGGTCGGACCGATGGGGCTCCCTTTGTGGGACTTGGGAGGTGCCGGGGATTGCGGATACTGTTGCCTGGCGGCGGCCATGGCCCGGATCCGAGGCAAGACCCGGGAGGAGGCGGAGAGGAAGAACGCCGCCAACGTCAAGGCCCTGAGGGGCATGATGATTGACGAGCTGAGGAAGGACGACTCGTGGAAACGCACGTGGCGAGCGGACAGGCACACCACTCGGAGCTGCGAGGCGGGCGCCATTCCCACGACAGCGGACGAGCACGCCAAGGCCCTTGAGGTGGATTTGTCCGCACGCAATGTCCCTCAATGCCAAAGAGCGATGGGGTTCGACATATTGGTGCTGGGCTGGCACACAAGGAAGCTGGAATGGACCCCGACGAGGGTCTTTCGGAGCGGACGGGAGCGCCGACCCTTGATCCCCATGTTGCTCTATGAGGGGCGCTACAGGACGGTGGAGGTTACGAGCGCGAGCAAGTGGCCAGAGGAGTGGCACAAGTTCAAGAACCCAGAGAACACGGTGTTGCAGGACTGGAGCCAGGAGCTCCGAGGGTCAGGCGCGGAGTCTGTCACGTCGGAGGCGTCGAGCTGGTGGCACCAATGCCACGGTGAGGGCGCGGACGCGGCGGCTGGGAAGAGCGGGCCAGCAAATCGAACAGAGGAGAGGCAGAGGAGGAGGGAGTAGTGGAGTCAGCGCCCGAGGAGGAGGCGAGGGCGGAGACAGCGGCCGAGGAAGAGGCGGAGGAGGAGGAGGAGGAGGAGGAGGCAGAGGCAGGGGCCGAGGCAGAGGACGAGGAGGCGGAGGAGCAGACAAGGAACCAACGAAGGAGGCAGGGAACGAGCCATCGATCGCTGGGGACACGGAGGCTTCCAGCTGGTGGAACAGACCACGCGGGGCAGAGGGCACCCGTGCCCGCCAGACGCTGGCCAGCACAGGAGCTGCGCAGGCGAGGACGAGGAGGAGGACAGACACGCTGGCCGCCTTGGAGGAGGCCACAGTGGCGGCCTTGGAGGAGCAGCTCGAGGAGGGAGAGGAGGAGCGGAGCGGCGCTGGGGGAGAACGCGGCGCGGGGGCACCAGAACGGCGGACGTGGTCTTGCCCTGTGTGCGGGAAGACGGAGAGGGTCCGGAGTGGCAGGCAGATGAGTTGGACGATCCAGAACCATATCCGCCAGAGGCACCCGGAGGAGGTGAAGGCAGCCATGGAGGCAGCTGCCAAGTTTGGCGCCAGACGTACGGGACTCACGCAGCGGGAGCTGCTTCGGCCCATCGCTTTCGCCGCGGAGCTCCCGGAGGGGGAGCGGGCGTTCACGTGCCCGTACTGCTGTAAAGGGCTGGCGCGGTGCAGCCAGTGGCAAACCGAGATGTCCAAGAGGGCGCACCTCCGCGAGTGCCGCCCAGGCACGACGCTGAAGGAAATGTACCGACTGGTACAGAAAGGGGAAGCCAATCGACGAGCGATGGCGCGCAAGACGGCGGCGAGCAAGGAGGCGAAGTCCTTGGCAGCTGTGGAGAGCTGGAACACACGGTTGCGACCACCAGGTCACGAGGTGCAGCGCCTCGACGTCCGCTGGCCGAAACCGCAGCGAGAACAGCAGAACGAGCAGAGGAGAGGCTTCATGATGCTGTGCACTCGGTGCAGGACAGAGGCCAGAGACCTGCACAATCGCAAGCTGAAGTGCGTGGCCGAGGAGGGGGACGAGCAAAGGACGAGGAGGCGGCCTGACGGCCGGTGGTGGTGGAACTACACAGTGGCCGGGTCCCAGGAGGACAACGACCACAACAGGGCTGCCTTGACGGAGGCATGGGGCATGACGCCGGAGGAGGTGGCTGAGAAAACGGCTGCTGCGACGGCGTGGGCGGCGACTCACCAGGCCGCCGTAAAGAGGCGATGCGACAGAGCCAAGGAGTGGCAGGAGCAGGCGGCCGCCAGCTGCGAGGAGGGAGGAGGATCTGGAGAGAGAGAGAGAGAGAGAGAGAGAGAGAGAGAGAGAGAGAGAGAGAGAAAGAGAGAGCGAGGGCCGCGCCAGGCGGACGATGCTGACCCAGACCCGCTCGACTACGAGCTTCGTGCGAGACGGCGCGAAGGAGGCAAGAGGGAGGAGGCAGTAGAGAGGAGGAGGAGGAAGCAGAGGGAGGCAGAGAGGAGGAAGAGGGGGCCGCAGGCTGCAGCTTGACAAACGGCCCGTGCGGGGGCTGCGCAGCCGGGGCGCCAGGAGGAGGAGCTCCAAGGCGCGGCCCACGGAAGAGGAGGCTCAGGGATGAGCCGGACAGGAACAGGAAGGAGGCTGGAGAGGCCGAGGCAGATGTTGAGGATGAGGGAGGGGCACGTTGTGCAGAAGAAAATGTGCCACCCTGGGCGTAAGGAAGAGGAGGCTGAGGAGGAGGAGGAGGAGGAGGAGGAGGAGGAGGAGGAGGAGGAGGAGGAGGAGGAGGAGGGTAGAGGAGGAGGTAGAGGCAGAGGCAGAGGTAGAGGGAGAGGTAGAGGAGGAGGCAGAGGTAGAGGTTGAGGAGGCTGAACATGAGCAGGGCCGAGGAGCAGGAGAGGGCGAGAGGGTGCGACACGCCGGCGTCCACCCTGCGCCCCCGGCGATCCCATCACAGTTCTTACCGGCTCCAGGCCGACAGGAGAGGGCTGAGGAGGAAGAGGCTGAGGAAGAAGCTCGAAGCAGGAGTCTCGGAAGGAGAGGCTCAAGAACGCCCCCGGGAGGGACAATAATGAGGACGAGGGGGCCGCGGACGAGCCAGGGGAAGAGAA